CCTAGACCCTTCTTCAGAAAGAAGGGTCTAGGCCCGAAACGTCAGCCTTCCTGCTCCTCTGATGCTGCTTGGCCTGCTGTGTTCATCCAGCTCTACACCTTGTTATCTCAGATTCTCCAGCATCTGCAGTTCCTACTATCTCTGAACCAGGTTGAACAGTCAGATTGGTAGCTAGTCGCTACAGCTCATTAAAATTACACATGAAACCAGAACACCAATAGTACAACATTTCCATGACCAGTATTAATATTGTCAAGTTCAAAGAGAGGACACATTCTTTTCAGAAAGATCAAGCTACCGTATCAAATTCAGTCCACAGATGGAGCACCCTCAAACTAGGAATCCAGTTCATTATTCTCGTAACAAACCTCAAAACAGTCAAGATGACAGTCATGAATGAAACAAAAACAAAGTTGCTGGAAAAGCTCAGGAGGTCTGGCAGCATCTGTGAAGGAAAAAACAGAGTTAACGTTTCAGGTCCGGTGACCCTTCCTCAGAACTCAGTCATGAATGGATATGGATTCATCCAAGGACGAATGGAGCTGTTTCGCAAAACACAGGTCAACAAAATGTGGGATATATTCAAGATGATTTAAATGTGGATGACTACCTATTGTCCAAATTTATTTCATATTAGGTTGAGCATTAAAGAGGGCACAAAGAACAGCTACTAGGATGATGCCAGGAATGGACAATTTCAGCTATGAGGAAAGATTGATAGCTATCTTCTTTGGAACAAATAGAGGCCAAGGTGAGATTTAATTGAAGTGTATAAAATTATGGGGGGTCTAGATAAGTGGAAAGGACACTTTCTTCCCCCGAAGCAAAGAAATTAAGAACCAGGGAAATTAAAGTATTCAGCAGGTTTAGAGGGGGGTTGAGGAGACGCTTTCACAGAGAATAGTAGGCTGAAACTTGCTGCCTCTAATGGTGTTGAAAGCAGGAATCCCCATTGCATTTAAAATACTGCTTGGACATGTAGCCCTGCAAATGGCAGAAAGTGCAAGACAACAACTGGAAAGTGGTAATAAAGACACTTTCTTTATTAAACAGCAGGCACAAAATGGTGAATGGTCTTCTTCTGAGTCATAGATTTTAAAACGTCCTAAGTTTCTTGTTGACTGGTAAAATTGTTATCAGTGTGTACGATAGATGGATGCTGAAACAATAATGACCAGTTGGGGGTGCTTGCAGTTAAAGGCAGAATAACAACATCCCAGCATGACCGTCCAGAAGCAAAAAAGGTCCAATGTTACAGAAGCAAGGGCAAAACTTACAGCCTCACTAATGAGGTACTGGTCATGGATATAGAGTCAAAGAATCATACAGCATAGAAACAGACCCTTCGGTTCAAAGTATCCATGCTAAACTGAACTAGTCCCATTTGTCTACGTTTAGCCCATATCCCTCTAAATCTTTCTTATTCATGTAGCTGTCCAAATATCTTTTAAATGTTGCAGTTATATCCACCTCTACCATTTCCTCTGGCAGCTCATTCCATACACGCACCAGCCCGTGTGCGAAAAAGCTGCCCCTCGGATCCCTTTTAAATCTTTCTCCTCTGACCTTAAAGCTACACCCTCTAGTTTTGGAGTCCCCTACCCTTGGAAAAAGACCTTGGCTATTTACCCTATACACGCCCCTCATGATTTTATAAACCTCTAAAATGTCACCCCTCAGCCTCCAACACTCGAGGGAAAATAGCCCCAGCCTATGCTGCCTCTCCTTATAACTCAAAACCCACCCCAGTCCCAGCAACATGCTTATAAATTTTTTCTGGTCACAGGGTGACGGGTGACCAGAATTGTATGCAATATTCTACAGGTGGCCTCACCAATGTCTTGTACAGCATCAACATGGCATCCCAACTCCAATGTTGAAAACTCCTCTTTTGCTAAAGCTGACACAGATGGTATCAAAGAATTAAGGTTAAATTTAAACATATTTTATGGAAGGTCAAAGTACTGAAGAAAGATTTGGGGAAAATAATTAGTTGTGGTAGGTACAGCAAGACTCAATTTTTGAAAGGTCCAACTTAGCACATACATATTTATCCGCTGCTAGGAGCAATTAACTGTTTTTCCAGAGAGAATAGAACCTCTTACAGGATACATCACTGAGATGATTACATGAGAATAAGTCGTCACAAAAACTACTGGGGATGTTTCAGAAGAGGCTTACTAGATTGATACGTGAAATGAGCCAGTTGTCTTATGAGAATAGGTTGAACAGACTGGGCTGATTTCCATCAGACTTGAGAAGCATGAGGGCTAATCTGATTGAAGTGTATAAGATCTTGAAGGGGCTTAGATGCAGAAAGGATGTTTATTCTTGCCGGTCAGTCCAAACTAGGGAGTACATTTTAAAATCAGGAGTTGCCCTTTTAGGATAGAAGAAATGACTTTTCTGAAGATTGTGTGTGACTTTGAAACTCCTGGCTTCAGAAGGTGGTGGATGAGGTGTCATCAAATACTTTTAAGGCAGAGACAGATAGATTCTTGTTAGGCTAGGATATCAAAGATTATCAGGATAGTAGGAAAAGTGGAATTCAAAACAAGCAGATCAGTCACGATCTTTTTAACTGGCAGAACAGGCTCACAGGGCCTAATGGTACTAGTGTTCCTGTTTCACATTGTGAACAGAGTTCACTTTTAGGTGGCATTTCCTTTGCTAATTCATTTCAGACATTATGCAATTCACGTAATAACGAGAAAAAAGCGGTTTTCAAATAATTTGAATGTCAGAAAATACACAGTAGACAATTCCAGTACAATTGCACTGCAAGATCATTCACCATAAAAAAGACTTCTGTGGAAATTCATCATTTAACCAACATCAATCTATTAAAACTCCTCCTTAATACAATACTGTCACAGAAACAATAGCTGCATTAGACTACGGCTGAAACAAGACAATAAAAATTACATTTTTAAAAATTTTCTTTACAGTTGAAATTGAAAGAACAACATTTTGGACTGCTTAATATATCTGCTTAATATATATTATGAGAAACAAATCAGAAGAACAGACTGGACTGACCTTCTTTACAAGAATGAAAACTTACCATCTGGTTATATTCACAACTAGAGACAGAATTAAAGTGGAAGACTGCAGAAAGACAAGAGAGAATATAGATATGGGATATTATACGCCATTGAAATATACACAGAAATGAGCAAGAAGTCAGAACTCTCACAGAATCACACTAATCAGGATAATTTTTAAAGAGTCTCTCTGTCAAGAGTGAAATTGAAAGGAGTGTAAAAAAAAAGAACGTGACTAATCAAAATACTATTAAACAACTAGAAGCAGAACTGTGACCAACACTGAAATGGTATGCTCATTCCATCTACTGAATATCTATTAAATAACCAAGGAAACTAGAAGTTTTTGAAATATTTTGAGAAAATAAGTGAAATAGCAAGTAGGCTATTTCACTGACAAGCTCAAGACCAGCACTGGCAACTGCACTCTTGCTTACACCTGAGCTAGGGAGTGGTATATAACGCAAAAGAACTTCCGTAAGAAAACCCAAGAATTTCTGACAATGATGGTGATGATAAAGCTTGAAAGGATTAAAAAGTGAAATTACAACCAAAAATAAATCTAATATAGCATTAATAAAAATAAAACTGACGATACATTACAGGTAAGATGAATAATATGATACCCTTTGGCTTTTCTTTAATCGTTCCAGGATCGATCAGATATAATATACTCATGTAAAGAAAAGTTGACAATAAAGTCACTCATCATGTTTGATAAGGAAAATGTTTAAAGAATAGCAGAAATTATAGACAGGACACATCTAAAGTAGAAGGAAAAACTCCTGCTTTATGCACATTGGAATGTAGCATATGTTGGAAGTTGCTGCTACAAAATAAAATACTTTACACCATAGAGATAGAGATGTACATCCCATCTTTTGTTTTAATCCTGTAGAATGCACAGTTTGACACAATAAGCAGGTTTTGCAAGTTAAACTTCCACATAACTTTAATAAGATATGAATAAAGATAGTAATTTCTGAAGAGAATCAAAACAATATTACCTCCTGTTCTTCAAATATAGGTTGATATTTTTCCAATGATAGCCTTTTTAGGATACTGGATAATTCATCTGGAGAAACATGAGGAAGGATCAGCAAATTATTCTTCAAAATCAAAATTTACTTGGATTATGTTGGAATTCAGTCTTGAAGCAGTAAAGTCTAATAAGGAATATTGTATGCTCTTATACAAAATGACATACAAAATAAAAGCAGATTTAACTTCACACACACAGCTTCAAGAGAAAACAAACAAAGACCTGTCCTTATGACCATCTCAATGCTCAATGTTGTTAGCAAGACAGTTCTAAAATTTTGATTCAGTGACAGTGAAGGAATGGTGATCTAATTTCAAGTAGACTGGTTTGGAAGGCTAACACCTCCTACAATCGGGGGCTATGTTATTAGCATGGATAGGAGGTTGGCTAACTACCAGGAAACAAAGATGAGATAAATGGGTAATTTTCATGTTACCAAACAAACTAGTGAGGTGCCAAAGGATCAATAGGATTATTGCTAGAATGTCAAATTTTTTAACCTACATTAATAATTTAGACGAAGAGCCAAATGCATTGGAGCCAAATGGAATTCAATTCTGATTTTCTCAGAGTTGGAGGATATCTGCAACTCTCTGCCTGAAAAGACACTGGAGGATGTTAGACCATACAACGTATTTGATTAACAATGAATAAATTTGAGGAGGAGATGGACAATGTCCCGATATCCACTGTACCCTGAAGCAGTGAATTCCATAGATTCATGATCCTTTCAAAGAAATTTCTCCTCACTAGTTTTAAATCTGCCATTTCCTTGGCTGAAAGCTTCAACTTCTCCTTCTAGGCCGAGAGCAAGTGATGTGGTGGTTGGGGGGCGGGCTACTTCTGCATGAAACAAAGAGAGCTAGCACATAGGTGCAGCAGGTATTCAGGAAGGCTAAGGGAATTTGTATCCTTATTTCAAGGAGGCTGCAGCATAAAAGTGGGGAAGTCTTACTACAACTACATAACAGTGTGATAACATCAGGAGTACTGAGAGCAGTTTTGGTCCCATTATTTAAGCAACCGTATTACTTCACTGCACGTAGCTCAGAGAAAAATAAATATGATGATCCTCTGTTTGGGGGGATTATCTTATGCGCAAAGATTGACCAGGTTCGGACTCTACTCATTGAAATTTAGATGAATGAGCAGTGATCAAATTGAAATTTCTAGGATTCTTAAGGGGACTGACAGGATAAACGCTGAGAGGATAATTCCCCTCATCGGGAATCTACGGCCAGAGGGTATAGTCTCAGAATAAAGGACACCAATTTAAGACAGAGGAGGAGAAATTGCTTCTAAGGGTTGCCACAGAGAAAGCTGTAGGGTAGTGCATAGAAAGTGTGAGGTTATGCGCTTCGGTAGGAATAGAGGTGTAGACTATTTTCTAACTGAGGAAAGATTTCAGAAATCTGATACAAAAGGCACTTGGGAATTCTGGTTCAGGGATCCGCCGTTACATCTGCAGAGGAAGCTGAGGCAGGACATGATTAAGAATAACATTATGGCCATAGACAGGATGGGCAGAAAAGAACTTTTCTCCTTGGTGGAGCGATCAGTGGCCAGGAAGCATAGATTTTAGGTAAAGGACAGGAGCTTTAGAGTGGATTTGACGTAACATTTTTTTCACTCAGGGGGTGGTGGGAATCTGGAACTCTGCCTGTAAAGGTAGTAAAGGCAGAAAACCTCAATATTTAAGCAGTATTTAGATGTGCACTTGCAATGCCAAGGCATGCAAAGCCATTGACCAAGTGTGGAAAACGGGATTAGAATAATTAGGTGGATGTTTTTGACCTGCACAGATTCAAGCAGGCAGAAGACCTGTCCTATAGACCTCTAGGATTCTATGACCCTATACATTTGCTGACAATCCAAGCATAGATAGGGAACAAAGTTGTGGGAAGGTCACATAGTTTGCAAAGACATAGATAGATTTAACGAGTAGAATGTTGGCAGACAAGTTTTATTTGGGAAAAGTAGAAAAGCAGAATGTTATTTTAATAGAGGCAAACAGTAGTGCTGTGATCCAGAGAGATCCAGTTCTTCTTGTATATGAATCACAAAATGTTAGCATGCGTTTGAAGTAATTAACTAGGAAGGCAAATTAAATGCTGATATTTACTGCATGGAAATGAAATATGTAAGTAGAGACTCTTTGTTGCAACTGCACAGGGCACTGGTGAGGATACACTCAAGCTACTTTGCAGTTTTGGTCTCCTTACCTGAAGGAAATATTTGTACTGCAAAAAGTTCAGAGATGGTTCATTAGTCTAATTCCAGAGATGAAACAATGGTCTTACAAAAAAAGGTTGAGTAGGTTGGGTTTATACCCATTCAAGTTCAGTTGCATGAGACGAGATCTTATGAACATTAAGAGAAGGCTCGACAGAATAGATGTTGAGAGAATATTTCTCTTGGATATGAAATCTAGAACAAGGAGCTACATATTCAAAATGACAGGTTACCTACTTAGGATGGAGAGAAGGAGAAATTGTCTCTCTCCAAGGATTATTAATCTTTGGATTTTTCTAATTTAGATCACAGCTGCGGTCTCATTTAGTATACTCAGTTAGACAAATTTTTGATCTTGAAAGGAAAGTAAAACGCTTTTATGTGACTTCACCTGACGAAGGAGCAGCGCTCCAAAAGCTTGTGATGTCAAATAAACCTGTTGGACTATAACCTGATGTTGTGTGACTTCTGACCTTGCCCACCCCAGTCCAACACTGGCACCTCCACATCAAAGTGTTTTTTTTAAAGAAATCCAGCTCTTTTCCTGAAAATTTCTCAGTTTTTCTTTAAAGATATATGCCCAATTTCCCTATGAAAGTTATGATTGAATGGGCTGCCCCCCCATCAGTATTTTCACAAATTATCTCAAATTTGTATCATCTGGTTACAAATCATCCCAACAACTGTAGCATTTTCTCCCTATTTACTTAGTCCATTTGGTAGGTGGGGGTGTATTAAACTGAAGGCACAAGGTGACCAACTGCTGCTGCTATTTTTTATGTACGTAAGGAACTACCTTTGTATTCCAAAATGATCATAGAACAGTGACCGGTTTTGGTAGAGGAAAGTGGGATCAAACAGTGCCTTTGTCTCATTTTAGCAAATAATGGGCAAACCAGATGTTGACCGGAGACATTGTAATTCTCATCACTTGGTCTGTAAGACCCTGGAGCAAAAGTAGGCTATCCTACCCATCAAACTGCTCTGTCATTTAATAAATTAATGACTGAACTGATAATCTTCAGCTCCACTTTCCTGCCTTTTCCCCATAACCATTGTTTTTCTTACTGATCATATACCAATCTTAGCCTTGAATATAGTTAATGACCCAAGCTCTATGGTAAGGAATGCCACAGATTCATGACTTCAAAGAAGGAATCCCTCCTCATTCCCTTTATATGTGAGACTCCTTAAAATGAGATTACACCCTCTTGGTGCTAGACTCTTAGGAAACTAATACACTGTTACAGCAACCAATTCTGTAGCTACCATTCTGTTCAATCACACCCTCTCCTCTACTTTTGGCCATATCTCCATTAATAGCATTAATCTCCCTTGCCCTAGTTATTCTACATAGCATAACAGGGTCAGTTAGCTCAGACAGCAAAACGGCCACTTTGCAATGCAGAGTAATGTCAACATCATGGGTTCAATTCCCGCATTGGCTAGGGCTACCATGAAGGATTCTTCTTATCAACCTCTCTCTTGCATGAGGCGTGGTGACCCTGACATTAAACCACCAACAGCTGTCTCTTTCTAATGAGCAGCCCCGAAATCTGGTAGGACTATGGCAACTTTTCTTCATAGTATGACACCATCCTTTTTCTATTGTTAGGCTCTGTAAAAAGCTAAGAGCCCATGGTGTTAAAGGTACTTTATCAGCATGGATAGAAGCTTGCGAACTAATAGGTGACACCATTGGAATAAGGGGGCATTTTCAGGATGGCAATCTGTAACTAGTGGGTGCCACAATTTTTACAATATATATCAATGACTCAAATGAAGAAAGTGAATGTTCTATAGCCATGTTTGCAGATGACTCAAAAATACTTAAAATTCATCTTTCATTTTCTTAGATATTAAATTGGTTCCTTCAAAGCACTACATTTTTATAACTATCAACATTCATAGGTTTTATAGCACACTTAGTTAAATCATATTTAGCCCAAAAAGCTCTGCCAAATCCTGCTGGAGGGAAGTACAAAATATCCACATTACAAAATACGCATTACCTTCATCTGTGAGGGTTCCACTACTGGACCCGCCACTGCTCTTAGACTGCTGATGTGAAGATGAGGATAGTGATGATTCCCCCTGGGGACTCTTAGGGGTAGGAGACGGTGATGGAGTCAGAGTAGGAGAGGTGCTCTTTGAATTTGATGATGTACAAGATGATGGACGCTGTTTCCCACATTTCTATGTTAACAAAAGATATAATTTGTGTAAATTGACACTTGAGTAATTCTAGAGCAATAACAGTTTAAATTTTAAGTGCAAAAGTACTGTTCGTGCTCTGCTCACTGTCAAGCCGCCTATATTTCTTATGACTGCAACACAGTATAAAACCAAGAAAATAACAAGACAGGAAAAGACTAGCTGGATCAAGCATGTCCTATATTTTGATGCCTACAATATTATAACTAGACCATTTGTTCCCCAACTGACAAGCAGGTAATCTCCTGGAAAAAGGCAAAAAACGATCTGATTTAGGCGTCAAAATGAAACTTACAAATTGCTCTCCAGCACTATAAGGCAATCAAAAGTAGTCTAGCATATCACAATAGTTAACATCAAAACTTAGTATCTAATTTATAGCTCAACACATTTTTAAACTGATTTTCAAAGCAGGAGGGCAAAGAGCACTTGAGTTTCTTTGCTACATCTTTTGCAAAGTGACAAACATATTATGTCTAGCATAGTTCTTTTTAATTCAGACATAAAGTGGCCTTTCAAATTAGATCATATTCCTTTTCTCTTGACAAAAGAAATATATAATGATTATTCCAACCCATCATTATTCCAGTTTTAATGGTTATCAAACCAAAACATGTTAAACCAAATTTGATTGTTTATCTGGAGCTGATCAGTACAAAGCTTTGAATGTCATGTTAAGAGCGGGATCATTATTGTTATTGTACACAAGGCCAAATGAAAAACTATTCAAATGGTCATATTCACCAGTTACCTGTACAATGCAGTTACTCTCAGCTGGCGAGACTGGCAGTTCAGGAAGGCTAGTTTCGATAGAGATTGGGTGAGGCAAAATCTCAGATCGGTTTGTTTTTAGCTCAGGTAAGCCTGCTGCTTTCCGTCTCTGGGCAGCAATTTGTGACAAGACATTATCTGAACTTCCTCCTGCGAATTTAAAATGATGTAATTTCAGTTACATTCCTCAATTGCTAATAAGAGATAGACACCAAGTTGAAGGTCACAGGAGTATCCCAACTAAATCCAAACCTTAACCATACGGTGAAGAAAGCCATGCAGAGCAGGTCGAGGAAAGACAACCGTTAGCAGCCACTGGCCTATCCACATGACTTCCAGCAGCTTAAATGATGACACGAACTGAGCCTTGAAGTCAGTTGTTTACTTTTCCCCATGCTAAACTGGAAAAGGCTACAGTCATTTTAATAGCTATCCTCACAAGAATATACGATGAGCTCTCATCAACGTTACCCCAATATGCCTACAACCTCCTTTATAAATATTAAAAATATTTATCCTCCAACAACTTATGCTCACACCTTATTCAGATTGTACTTCACCATATCAGAAGTCACCTACTGACTTTTCATTAATTTTAATAACCTCACAATCCTTCTCTTCTATAAACAACTACCTCCTCAAACACTAAGTACAGAGTTAATGGATTTTAGTTAATGTGATATACTCTATCCTTGTACTTGCCTCAGCTGCACATTCTTCTTCCTCTCGTCTTAAATAGTTTTCTTCTACTTGAACTCCCAGCTCTGCCATAATTTTCTGCTAAGATTCATCATATTCCCAATACTTCATTACAATTAAATAACTCTAACCAAAACTAACTCACAGTATTCAACATAACTGTGACAAGATACTTTATCCCTTTTAGATATCCCTGCAATGTTAGGCGTGATTTACCATACCAACATTCTCAGTCATCCAGTTTCACTAGATTATAACCACGTAGTTCCATTTTGACTGAACAAACCTACACAATGTGTGTTTTTTTTGTTCCTTTCTCCTACTTATCTATCTTCTGCTGAGATCTGTCCGAAATGCTTCAAAGATTATTCAAAATGCAAGTGAACTACATTAACTGCTGCCTCAATCTACATGTTAGCAGTTTATAAATATAAAAATTAAAATATACCTATTAAATTGGTTTGATAGGATTTTCCCTTAACAAATGCAAGCCAAATCTCACCAATTAGTTTGTATCAATTAGATATTACACTAAATTTCTTACAATTAATTCTAAAATTTCTTCCCTGTAACAGAAGAATAACTTGCCTATGCTTCTCCTGCCCCCTATATATTCCTGTTAACCACCTTAAATTTGACATTCTGCAATCCGATAATCCAAATATCTAAGAAATTACTGAGTTATTTGAGCACTAGTTCTGCCAGACCATCCTGAACATCAAGAATCCAAGGCTGAATTCCATACAACTCAGGTACTTTATTCATTCAAATATGCAGACATTAACTCTGTGGTAATGGCAATGTCCAAGTTCTCTACCAACAGGCAAATGTTTGAATCATGTTTATATTCATGGCCATTCTACCACTGGAAACAGTACACTGTCCTATTCTGCAATAATTTTAGATCTTCTATCATATTTCCTGTTGACTGCATTATTCTAACAAGAATGCCAAGTCTAGCCAAGGTTTTATATGTTTTCATGCACTGAATCCACTTAGTTGGTTGAAGACCTCAGAAAAATGTCAAAACTGATCATTGCAATGATGTTTCATTGTTCAGGAAGAGACAGGTTATGTGGGTAAAAAGCCCAATCCCTAAAAAGTGTTGAGAGACATTTTCAACTGTACATTTGCTCATTCACATTTGTAAATGTCCAAGCAGTATATGTTGAATGTCAACTAATAATTACAAAATATCTCATGGAAGCCCTTCAAAATTCAAGAATGCATAAAGTGGAAAATTTCTCTCTTAAACTATATGTGCAGCATTTTAAGTGTAGACTGTAGACTATGTCTAATAATTTAAATTTCTTCTAAAAATCAGTTATTCAAAGCAGGATGCATAAATAATAAGTGATTTAGTGCTTAAATAAATAGAATCAGATGTTTTAAAATTAAACAAATTGGAATGAAGAATAAACTGTACATAGTGGATTAATGGTTTAAAGAGTTTTGAAATGGATGCAATTCGTTCTTTGGTTGATGTTAACAGTGGGATTCAGTCACTAACCAGAAATTAGTCATTGTACATTCAAACAATTCTAAACTTTTTCAGGACTCTGTTTACAACATTTTTCTAATTTTTAAAAAAATGTCACAATGTACTACGTATGGCAATCACTGTTAAATGGCTATTCTAAATTACTGCATTACAATGGAATCTCAAAACATATACTTTAGAAAAGCACACTACATGGTTACCTTAATACCAATTATTTTATACTGTAAAATTAGAAATGTCATCCAGTGGAGGGGAAAAAAATTAAATCATTTACTTAAGTTACATGCAGACAAAAGCTGGGATTGTCCTTACAGCAGAAACAATTAATAAAAAATTTAATACACTTGCTCAAAACTTCAAATGATTTGAGAGACAGTAAATAATGATGAAATGTCCACTGGGAAAAAGACCCAATATCTTTGGCAAGAGCTGTGGGGAAAGTCAGAGAAATAAGCCTAACTGGACAGCTACTTCCAATCTCAGCGTAAGCTGAATGGGTGCCTTCTGCACTGCAAGATTCTTATATTTCTTTGGTTAGAAAATGCTGCCCTTGACAACAATTACATCAATTGACCCCAAATGAGTGTGTGTTGAACACAAAAGATCAAGCACAGAACTCCAATTGCTGGAGGCAATTTAATCTCATCAAATTGATTATCTACATTGAACACTAGAAGGCACTCAAATGTAAAAACAAAACTGCTTTTAACAGAAGCCGACAAGAATATTCTTCAGACCTGAGCGGTTATGTGGTTCACTGATGCAATGTCTATTGATGCCAACCACTCCATTAGATCCACCTGAGGAATGTGGAGAATAATTGAAATGTCCAGAGTTTGGGGGAGAAGCTGGACACCTCGTAAGATTTGTAATAGGAGGAAGTTTAACAGATCTGCCCATTCTGCTGACAGAAGTCTGAAATAAACAAGCAAATGGTAAGCCATCCAATGTTTGTAACATTTACTGTACATAATTTTACTTATTCCAAAAAGCAATTCAGATAAAATCCATTCACATTTGCCATTTGTTATGGCATCCGATGCTTTCGGAAAATGGAAATGAAAATGAAATTACATGCTGAGGGCAACAATTTCAAATCTTAAATGCAGAGGGCTAGAAACTACTATTAATGCTTTTCATCAATAAATGTTTCAGGTGTTTCAACAACGTTTACCTTAAGAAGCATTGCCCCATCTATTTTAACCCATTTAAAATAACCTAATACAAGTACAATAAGATCTAACCTCTAGCACACAATCATAACTTTTAGCCAAAAGTTGAATTATATTCACAAGATTAAAGTTTGACTGCCTTAAAATACTTTCATAGTTATAAACTACACACATCTACAGAAGATATCTAGTTTTAACCAGCTTAATAAAAATCACGCACCTACATCTATGTTTTGTTTACCTGTAAGGAACGTTAGCACTTGAGCCATCACAAAAACACTAGACAGGGATGCTCATTTACTTAAAAATATTTTCAATCAATTAGGTTACAAATGAATGAAAGTTGATCTGCTGCAAGAAAATAAAAGCTCACGGAGAAGGCAGGAAACTCCGTTTAGTACAACTGATGCGTGGACTAAAAGTATGAATTTCACTTTATATTCTAAGACTTTACTCTGAAATTTGACTGGGGAAATTAATAAATCAAAATATAACAAATTGGAAATATTTACACACTTGCACATGCAACAACATTTCAAATCATTCAGAGAAATTTCACTCCCAAAGTCATTTTAGGTTTCAAAATAACACTCAAATAGAATACAAGTCATTTCATACAATTCCTTGCCAAATCATTATATTCCACACGCTTGATTCAGCGAATTCCAGGTACATGTTTTAAGTGCAAATTTCAATGATCCTTCAGTTGATGAGCCCCATGAAGTCAATTTTTTGATCTCAAAGTGTAATTTGTCTTCAGTTAGGCTACCTCCATTAAATCAATTTTATGCTGCATTATTACCATACACACCAATATTCCCACCTGCTTAAGTTTGCAACAATATCTGTTACTACCTACTTTTTCCAAAAGACAAATGTGTTACAATGCAATAAAACAAAACAAATCTTACAATGTCAGAATTACCACTGCCGTTGAAATTGGGTTTTGCAAGGCGACGAGGTGCAGATAGCCCAACATGATCCAGCTGGCCCTCTTTGTTTATTCGTGTCCTGTCACAGCTCCATAGTTCAAAGTTGGACGGAGGCAAAAATGGAGGAATAACTGCTTTCAACTTGTCACTTGGAAGACGAGTGAAGGGTGCACCGTTTCTCAACTGTAATAGAGGGATTACTTAAACATGGCAAAACTAGTATTCTATAGATTTTACAAGTCCTTCTGAAGTAGGCCGGGTACATTTTTTACATTAACTAAAAATGTATATGAAAGATGCAAAACACACGCAGTAACACTTGGTCCATAATAACGTGTGTCTCCACGAGAACAATGCATTCACTGAAGATCATTCATGGAAATTCAGACTTGATAAACTTATTCAAAACAAAATCTCCTTTCAAGGACTCAGTACAGCAGTGATTTAGCAAAACCTCTGTTCACTTGCTCAAAATTTTCTTTTCAATTCCTTCTCAATTCTTGTCGTGCATATTCTTTCACTTTATTGCTTCCCCACCACGTTAAAAATTAAGACCCACGACAGCCTCACACTTATATTTGCCCCCAATAGCTCAAAGCTGCGGAATTTCTTCTATCCTATCAATTTTAACCAAAAAACTGCAAGCTTTTAAACACTGACAATCAAGCCAATCACTAGTTTCTGAATCACTAATTCTGCTCTTTCTGATCTGTGACAAATTATGGGCTTTTTTTAAAGATTAATATAAACTCAATTCCGCAAAACAAGCAGAGACCCTTTTCAGATTTTTGATAGGCTCCACCTAGGTTCCAGTACCATACATATTACAATCTCAGGAAATCCAAAGGAAGGACTAAAGTAGGGAATAAACGCAACAATAGTGTGTGGGAAATCTTCTGAGATGAGATACAGAAACATCTTAGGCAACAGGATCAAGAGTTCTGCTGCTACCATACAGCACAACCATTTGGTGAGGGCAATATAAACTACAAGTTATTCTACCTTGTTATGACCAAAGGGGAGGTGTTGGCCTACTGGTAATGTCACTGGACTAATAATCCACTAACCTAGGCTAATGCTCTGAGGACATGGGTTCGAATCAATAAAAATGTGGAACGAAAAGACTAACCTAATGGTAATTATCCTAATGGCCGATTGTTGTAAATACCATTTTGTCCACTAATGTCCATTAGGGAAGGAAATCTGCTGTCCTTACCTAAGGTGGCCATAGAAAATTCATTAGCAAACAGGGAATAAAGAGTATGGATAAATGGGTCTTTTTCTGAACGGCAGGCAGTGACTAATGGGGTACTGCAGGGATCATTGCTAGGATCTCAGCTATTCATATTTTATGTTAATGATTTAGACAAGACAACTAAAAGTAATATCTCAAAATCTGCAGAAATTTTGACAAAGTTGGGAGGAAGGGCGAGTTGTGAGGAGGATGCAGAGGTGCTGCAGTGTGATTTGTACAGGCTAAGTGGGCAAATGCATGGCAGATGCAGCATAATGTGGATAAATGTGAAGTTATCAACTTTAACAGCAAAAATAGGAAGGCAATTATTTGAATGGTTATAAGTTGAGACCTAAGTATCCTCGCAAACCAGTCGCCAAAAGTAAGCGCACAGGTGCAGCAGGCAGTAAAGAAGGCAAATTGTATGTTGACTTTCATAGCAACAGGATTTGAGCACAGGAACAAATGTCTGTTACTGCAATTATACAGGTCATTGATGAGGCCACACCTGGAGGACTGTGCGCAGTTTAAGTCTCTTTACCTGAGAAAGGACATTCTTGCTATAGATCGAATATATCAAGGGTTTAGAAAATTGATTCCTGACATATGAGGAGAGATTGAATTGGTTAGGAGTGCATTCATTGGAATTTAGAAGAATAAAAGAGGATTTGAACAAAAAAAAAAGCTATAAAATTCTAACAGGACTAGACAGGGTAGTTGCAGAAAGAATATTCCCAATGACAGGCGAGTCCAGAATCAGGGTCATAATTTAAGAATGAGGCCTAAACCTTTTAGAACTGAGACAAGGATAAATGTCTTCACCCAGAGACTAGTGAGACTGCGGAATTCACTACCACAGACACTGGTTGAGGCAAATCATTGTGTTTTTGTTCAAGGAGGTAGTTATAGCTCTTGTGGCTAAAGGGATCAATGGATATGGGAGGCGGGTGGGACAGGTGTATTGATCAGCTATTATCATATTGAATGGCAGGGCAGGTTCAAGGGGTCAAATGGCTTATTCCTGCTGCTATCATCTATGTTTATATGGCCAACATGTGACCCTGGACGCACAATAATGTGGCTGATTCTTATATGTCCTCTGGGCAATAACTGCTGGCCTCACCAGTGACACCCACATCCCATGAACGAGTTTAACAGAAAGAAAAATTGGAGGATTGCACCATCTCTAATTCCACAACATGTTTGAAATAGTATTTGACATGTCTAATCGTATGCTCTCTATAGATTATACTTAGAATTAAAAAAAAGGTAATTATAAGACAAAACTAATTCAAAGAATCAAAACATACTGGTCAATCCATAAACTGTAATGCAAAAATATAAATGTTTCTGCCTCTAAATAACCCAAACACATACTAAATAATACATTCAAACATATTTCTCTGCAGAAATTCACTTTAAACAAAAAAATTCACTTCTAATGAACAACAGTTAATCCCTGAAGAGAAAGGCAAGATGTGAAATGTTCAGATGGCTGCTGATCTGGCATTCAGCCGCACTGACAGGTGACCAGTCATGCCTCTGGGAATCTTGGCAGACACTGCTTGCTCAGGAAACAATATCCAGGAGTCTTCCAGACATACTTATCAACAACAACAGCACCTAGTGAAGCCTAGTGGTTCACAACAGGGGTTTTTGAGAAACGAAAGATAAGGCAGGTATCCTCAGCTCAATAGGTTTTTCCCTGTCTCAACTGAAAAGCAAACAAATTCCAAGAAAAGCAAACATTGTTCATACAAAAAAGCGAGAACCCAGGCAGGTGATTTCTAAGAAGCAAGTTCAAGTAATCAGCTCAAGTCATGTGACTTCCTTTAAGTATCTTAAGAAAAGTTTAGGTGTCCTTTCATTGACTTACTCAACAAAAAAAAATCATATTGCCACACAGCTAGATAATAAATCATTTTCCCATAATCCTTCAAAACTCAAGTCCTCAAAAAAATTAAATATAAAGCCTCCATGATAATTTGCAGAAGTATCAATCATTTGGAATCAAACAAATTAGGAAAAAAAATTTAAATATCAGTTACAAGTTACAGTTGGAGTGCCATATAGGAAGATGGTTGTGGTTGTTGGAGGTCAGTCATTTCTACAGGAGAACCTCAAGGTAGTGTCCTCAGCCAACTATCTTTAGCTGCTTCATCAACAACAATCCCTCCATCATAAGATCAGAAGTATTCGCCAATGCTTGCATAATGTTCTACACTATTCACAATTCCACAAATACTGAAGCAGTTCATGTTCAAATGCAACAAGACCTGGACAATACCTAGCCTTGGTCTGACAAATGGCAAGTAACATTCGTGCCACAGAAATGTCAGGCAATGACCACCTCCAAAAAGAGACAGAGACAATCTAACCGCTGCCCCATGAAATCCAATGGCATTACCATCACTGAATCCACCACTACCAACATTGATTAGTTTACCATTGACCAGAACTCAACTAGATTTAATACAGTGGCTAGAAGAGCACGTCAGAGGCTAGGAATACTGTGGCCAGTAACTCATCTCCTGACACTCCGAAGTCTGTCCATCATTAGCAAAGCACAAGTCAAAAGTGTGATGCAATACTCTCCCCTTGCCTTGATGGGTGCAGCTCCAACAACACTCAAGAAACTTGACACCATGCTGGACAAAGCAGCCTGCTTGATTGGGCACCAGACCCACAAGCATCCATTCCCTCCACCACCAACTCTCAGTAGCAGCAGTGTACACTATCCACAAGATGCACTGCAAAATTCAAAGATCCTTAGACAGCACCTTCCAAACCCACGACTACTTCCATTTGGAAAGATACGAGCAGCATATACATGGGAACACCACCACCTGCAAGGTTCCCCTTCCAAGCCACTCACCATTCTGACTGTTTCTTCACTGTCGTTGGGTCAAAATCCTGGAGTTCTCTCTCTAAGGACATTGAGGGTCTACTTACAGCACATGAATTTCGACGGTTCAAGAAGCAATTCACCACCAAACCTTCTCAAGGACAGCTGGGAACAGGAAATAAATGCTGGCCAGCCAGTGACCCCGACGTCCCATGAGTTAACTAAACAAAAAAAAAGCACCATCCAAAATTGCCAACTATTTTTTGGCAGATAGTCCTTTACATTAATTCTTATAATGCACATAAAGCAGTGGGCTCAGCAACAAATATCATCCCTGAAAAATTCAAATTCAATTTCACCAATATAAAACTACCTGAAAGAGCGATTACCTAAGATACAAATTCACAACCTACCGCAGTTGACAGAAGAACATCACCTTTTCCTCCAATGGTATGGTCAAGTCCTATAAAGTGAATTAAAACAAAATAATAAATACACACATTGAACTGTGTTCAAATCAGATATATATCACTCTGGTACTTAAGTTCATTTTTCAACTGGATACCTAGTACAAATCAAAACACACATGCCAAGAATAAATAATTAGATATATTAATAGGAAATCTATCATCACTTTGTAATCTTAATAATCATTTCATTATTTCAACTGTATAGTACTCAAACTCTAACATAAAGCACCAAACACACATAACTTTGCAATGTACACATTATCTAATAATACCATAGAGAATGGCTGTTTGAGAGCATGATACACTGAGGATTATAAAAAGAATATAATTAAATGTGGAAGGCCATGATTGCTTATTCTTTAATCAGTACTACATATGATGAGGGAGATGGAATTCCTCTCACAGAGAGAGACTTCAAAAACAGGACAAGAAGCAGAGGTTGCATTGTTTACACTTACCACTTTCAGAAAGATAAACTTGACATACATATACTGGTTAGTTACGTGGTAATACACATATTTGAAGCAATCATTTGTTGTCAGTGCAGCAGTCATGGAAACGTAAAACAACCTTTCATTGAACCAGTGGTTTACCTGCCTAGCAGTAAGGAAATAAATTACTTAATTACCAGGGTCATCCTTGAACATTAATCATTTCCGAAGTGTTGGAATTGACGAAACATTATGAAAAGTGCAATCAATCCTCAACAAAAGGAGGACCCCCAACAGCACTGAGATAAGTTATCAGTTAAAATGTACTTGTGGCAGGGGAGAAGGGACACGTTAGCAGGACATTGGGAGAACTGTATGGTCTACAGATTTCAACATGGATTTGTGTTTTGTTGGAAGTGGGTGTTTGGCCTGACAAGAGGATGGTTCTGCTCGTAGGAGAATCCAAAATGAAGCATCACAGCTTCTTAAGAAATGATCACCTATTTAAGACAGGTGAGAAGATAACAGTGTGGAGCTGGAGGAACACAGCAGGCCAGGCAGCATCAGAGGTGCAGGCAAGTTGATGTTTCGGGTTGGGACCCTTCTTCAAGTTTCTTTTCTCAAAGTCAAGAACCTTCAGAATTCTATCCCAAAGCAGTGGAGGCTAGATTAATTGAATACAATCAAGGCCAAAACAGAGTTTTGGACAGAGGAGTCAAGGAATGTGTAGTTGAAACTAGGCTCAAGGAGCTCTTTGGCGTACTCCTGCTCACATGATATGTTCTGATTGGGTGAGAACTATTATCCCACTAGTTAGGTGAAAGAGATTCAAACCCAGATCTCAGAGGTGAAGTAATACTGTATAAACCTCTGCAGCACACATTCTTGTATTCAATTAGGGGCAAATTAGGTCAAAAACAAAATATTTTTCATCAATCCTATTTATCCAACTTCTCAAACACATTTCCAATTAGCTCTCTCTCAAGAAATAAATCAGTCTTGTCCCAATTCAATTCATACTGCCTGATTCAATATCTTCCGAGAACTTCATGCATAACTCATTTCTGGTTTGTAAAAAAAAAATCTGTACAGGAAGAGCAAGAACTTGAAAGATTTATGCACCCCTACAATAAGATATAAAATAACATGATTCTCATGAATAGATATCCCTATGCTGTTCACGGCACAGGTATGTAACTTGTAGCAGCTTTAAGACCATTTCATCGTCAGTTGTAACTAGACCAGCTACAAGTGAAAAATTGGAGAACGTTTTGATTTATGTTGCAGGCTTTATTATTTTCAGGGAACATACATACAAAGGCGCTTCATAAAAAAAAGCATTTCCTTACCACTGTCCTTTCTTTTTGACGCCCAAGCCAATGAGCAATCAGTATTAGGTGTAGACATGATCACTGCTGAATGATTGCTGTCATCCTTCAGGTTAGCTTTCATTGTTGCATCCAATCCCACTTCAGCTTCATCTAGAAAAGGAGCAAGCCTATTTGTGGAAAAGCCATGTCTGAGTGTCCTAGTCAGCTTCAGTTTTCGAAATCTGTTGGACATTCTGTTCCACCAAGACTACATAAAATGAAGAAAACAATTATTTGAAGTAATCAGCAGTTAATCAAACTCTATTAGGAAGCAAGGCCAAGGCTTCAACTCTGGATTGAATTATGCTGCTGCAGATAAATTAATTTAAAATAAAGTTTTTGTTTTGCAAATTTCTGGGTGCATTATGCTAGCACATTATATTCCAAACCCCAGTCAATCACAACATCTGCTTGTACTGATTCATAAAGAGATTTTACGTTTGACCTTGTGCCAAATTTATGCAGGCACTTCAGCACAGGTTCAATATCCAGCAAATTTTGGATGTCTGTTGCTTACAGTGCCTCTAGCAGAAACTCCACATCAATAATTAAACTTGCAATACAGAAATGTGCAGCACCAAATTAAATTTTCAATTCATGCTAGGGCTCAAGATAAAAGAGGATGCCTACTCTTCTTGCTTAAGAGTTGATTCTGAATTATGTTCTGTGCTTATAGTATTATGCAAGTTATTGCTAGCTGTATAAACACAATGCCGAGGAGGAAATGGGCAGTTGACAACTATGAATTATTTGAACAATGTGACTGGTTTGTTTTGTTGTTATTGGCAATTCCAAATTACTTGATATGATTTGGTGATGTTTGGTCTAACAGTAACTAATCTGTCTACTAAATGTAGAAACTGATTTTCATTGGGTTTCCATTTTCTAAATTACCAACTTGGATCATTGTTTTTTTCAGGCATTACGATTTTGTTTTGGCTAAATCATGCAATATTTTTCATTTATGTACTGATTTGGAAGAAAGGTGCATACGGCAACTGAAAAGATTTGGAAAGAAGTTCAAGAGATAAGTTTCATACATTTTCCCCAGAACCTAAAATGTGTTCCTTACCATCCAGATAAATGAAAATTGGACCCATTACATACTAGTTGGACAAGTCATCCCATAGGTAATGAGGAGTTGGACAACCTACACTAAGATACATTATTCTTTTATCCATTATAGCAGGTGAGGGGATGGGAAGCAGTGACAATGTAGTTCAATTGTGTAAGAGAAACTATAAAGCAGTGTACACATTTCAGGGCAAGACATAAATCAAGTATAAATCATTTTAAAAAACTTGCGTCCTATAATTTAATAAAATGTAGAAAGATAAAGCTTTTCATTCTCAATTAATTCTTCTGAGCTTATAAATTTGACCTGTCCAAGTGATTTATATGTAAATGCCAACCTGCAAACCTCCCTTAGAAACAGCAGTGATCACCAACATTTGGCTGGAGTGATTATTCAGCATAATTATATTTTGACCATAAAAGGATCAGACCAAGGCAATATGAATTCCACTTTAGCAGAACAGTGTGTTGTGTCATATGATGCACATGTGGAAAGTTGATTTTTAAAGTAAATACTGTAACACTATTTGAGACTAGAACTGGTCACATGAGCAGAAAAGTTGCAAAAGGAACTGAACACCATATTTATGAAAGAATATTAATGCATTTGAAATAGTTTAGAGAAGGTTTACCACAATAATTCTTGGAATGTGTGCACTGCCTTATGAGGAAAGGCTTAATAGGCTAGACCTGTATCTTCCGGAGTTTAGAAGAGTGAGAGGTGCCTAAATTGAAACGTAAAATATCCTGAGGGAACTTGACCAGCTGGATGTGGAAAAGGGTGTTTTCTCATTTGGGAGAAACTAGTCATAGATTAAAAATAAAGGATTGTCCATTTAAGATTGAGAGAAGGAAAGAAAATTCTGAGCTGAGTGTCTTTGAAATTCTCTTTCTCAAAAGGAACTGGATGGAGAATCTTTTAGCACTTTTTGAATATCAGGGGAATGAAAGATTATCAAAGGTACAAAAGTGTATACAGTGGAGACTAAAATTAGATTATCTATAATCTTATTGAAGGGCCAAATGGTCTACTTCTTATTCCTCATTCATATGTTCATAACCCAGATGTGTGAGGTGATGCATTTGCATCTGGGGAGGTCAATAAGGCAATAGAATACAAAATTAATAAGAAGTTACAAGAGGAAGTGAGGAATCTTGAAATGAATCTTTACAATGTGGTGATGATGACAGCAGAACAGATTGAGAAGGTGGTCAAGACAATGTATGGAATTCTTTATTATCAGAGGTATAGACTGTAGCAGTAGGGAGGTTGTGACGGAACTGTACAAATCTCAAGTCAGGCTAAAACTTGAGTACTGTAAGCAGCTCTGATTATCTAATCACACAAGGAGATTTACAAAGATGTTACACGGACTGGAAAATTGCAACTAAGGGCAAAGATTGGACAGGCTGGAGCTAGACTCCTTATAACAGGCCAAAGAAAAAAAACATTGTGAGGGCACTGCAGAGAGTGTATTGGAGATGCCTACTTACCTTAGCAGAGAAATAAGTGACTAAAGGGTACAGATTTAAAGTAAGTGGCAGAAGGATTGAAGGCTTTTTCCACCCAGAAGGTGATAGGGACATGGGACTCTGTCGAACAAATATAGTAGAGGTAGAAACACTAAATTCATTTAAAAAGGATATGCACCTCAAGGGATATAACCTGCAAGGCCACAAACTGGTCACTGAAATGTGGGATTAAGCTGGATGGCTCATTTGTCAGTCACCAAAAGTGCAATGGATCAAGAGGCTATTTCAGTGTCATATACTTTTAATTACTTACATAAATGTGGTATGAATAATATACAATCAATTCTGTGTGACAGGAATAATTGTACCAGCAAAGTAAGAAAAGGTCATTGTCCTGTTTGGCTAGTGACAGGTGACCTAAGTTAGGGAAAGTTTCTTTCTAAAATTCACAAGTTAACACCAGCACAAAAAAAAACTTACATGGATCGAAAAATTATTATACCTTTAATCCTCCTTTGTCTTCTGGGGGTACAGGAATCGTTAATGACGCTTTACTTTTCGAACGAGGCATTGTCTTGGATTTTTGTTTGCTCTTCTCTTTATCTAACTGCATGCAGACTGATGCCAGAAGTCGCACAAGTTCTGTATCTAATGGGCAGTAAAAAAAAGTCAAGAAATTTTATTGTTTTGATCATTTTCAGTAAAAGACTGCCAAAACAACTCTACCCTTCTTTGGGAAGTGGGGTGTTGTAGGCATTTCTACATTCTACTAAATTAAAAGTAGCAAAAGAATGAGCTGTCTTAGAAACACTTATCAATGCTCTCATGGCTTCAAATCACAATTTGTGTTTTCCCACTAGAGCAGAAAATAATTTGTTTTTGCATATTTAACAAAGCTCTTGAAAGCAAGATTGAAAAAAAGTGTAAAATGAAGAATTAGGAAGGAAATAACTACATTAGATCTGAACTTATATTTTCAGTTAAGTGATATTGCTCTAACAGACTACATGACTCAAATATATAGGTTTGTTATGTTTGTTGCTTGAAGCTTAATTGGTTGATGAAGGTATAACCCATGGTTTTGGCATCAACAGACAAAGGATTAGGGCAAGCAACAAGTATTATTGTGGAGGTGGAAGGCAACAGCCAAGGTGACTAAATAGATGTGGGAAAGGAAGACCACAAGAAAATCAAACATTGCATTAAGGATCATCACTTCAAGTCCAGACCTTTTGAAGGCTCTAATTAATCTCTATGCTATCAAAAATTACAAAATATATCGTAACATACATTCCATTCTCTCCAACATTCCTATCACCTCACCCTCTTCAAACTATACTGTTTTTCTGCACTACACTTACACTGCTTTCAGCGACTTTCATAAGACTTTTGACCCAATGCTTCATATAGTTCTCATGCTGTGTGAATGCACAGCCAAATCCTGGATTTTATCTGTAAAACATAGACCACCTCCAAGGTAAGTGCACGGGTAGACGAGATCCAGAACACATCTCTCTTGAATTGACGAGGCAAACTTATCAACAATAATCTCTTGCTTACAATATCCAACAATGTGTTAAATCAAACATATGGCAAAGAGGTGGAGTGCCTGCTCCAGGCATTTTGGAATGTATTGCAACATTTCCTCGTACGAACAGTAGTATATTATTGAAAGACTTCACCATCTTATCAATGATGTACCACAACATGATGGGGTGTTGACACATTGAAGATGAAATCTAAAGGTTAAAAAGAGGACACAAAAATCCTCGTGCTCTAATTACAATTACAGACTTGTTTTGTAATACACAGAGACACTGGGATGCCGATGAATAATAGTTTCGACTGAAATGCAGTTCTTCTATTGAACAGTCAATTGATGATAACGTAGAAAGGAACATAATTTAGAAAACACAGTAGCCCCATCAGTCCTGAGTCTGTTCTGCTGCTTATTTGGGTCATCACTGACCTGCACATTGAATCCAGTTACTCCATGAACTTTAAATACCCTTGTCTAATGTAAGAGCCCTCCCTTATTTGAGGTAAACGCTGTAGTGTATGACAGTTCACATCTTTTAAAAGATTTTTTTTAAAGATCTTGCACTTTATTGGTAGACTATTTGATAATAGACTATAGAGGTCTACTGAAAATCAGATCGAGTCAATAGATGTGGAGCTGGAAAAGCACATTAGGTCAGAAATTGGAGCAGCAGGAAAGTCAACATTTCCTACTGAAACCCTTCATCAGGACTGGGGAGGGGAAGGGGAGCCCAGAATTAAATAGAGGGAGGATGCTGGGGCTGGGGAAAGGGTAGGTGAGATGGTGATAGTTTATTATGATTGGTCAGTGGGAAGGGTGGAGCGGATAGGTGAGTAGGAAGATGGATAGGTTAGATCAGGTCAGGGAGGTGTAGAGGAGGGGCAGGGCTGGACATGGGATAAAGCTGGAGATGGAGGGATTTTGAAGCTGAAGTCAATACTGACGCCATTGGGTTGTAAGCTCCCAAGGCAAGATATCAGCTGTTGTTCTTCCAGTGTACATTCGGCGTCATTCCAACAGTGGAGGAGGCCAAAGATGGACATGTCGTTTTGGGAGTTGGAGGAGGAATTAAAATGGATGGCAACTGGAAGGTCAGGTTGGTTGACGCATGCAGAGCACAGATGCTCCGCGAAACAGTTCCCAAGTCTGTGCTTGGTCTCCCTGAAATAGACAAGACCACACCAGGAGCAACGAATACAATAGGTTAGATTGGATGAAGTGCAGGTGAATCTCTGCCAGATCTGGAAAGATTGTTTGGGGCCTTGGACGGAGGGGAGAGGGGAGGTGTACGGGCAGGTGCTGCACCTCTTGCAGTTGCAGGAAAAGGTACCATGTGTGGAGGAGAATTTGGTGGGGAATGTAGACCTGACGAGGAAGTCGTGGAATGAACGGTCCCTGCAGAAAGCTGACAGGGGTGGGAAGAAAATTTCTTTGATGGTGGGGGTTTGATTGTAGGTGGCAGAAACGTCAGAGGATGATGTGTTGGATTCAGAGGTTGGTTGGGTGGGACATGAGGACTAAGGTGACTCTATCCTTATTGTTGTTCGGGGGAGGGCGTTTGAAGGCAGAAGTGCGGGCAATGGAGGAGATGCAGTTGAGGGCATCATTAATTGCAGAGGAAGGGAAACCACAGTACCTAAAGTAGGAGATCTGGGATGTCCTGGAGTAGAACACCTTATCCTGGGAGCAGATGCAGCAGAGACGGAGGAATTGAGAATATGGGATAGCATTTTTCAGGAGGGTGAGTGAGAGGAGGTGTAGTTGATGTAGCTGTAGGAGTCAGTGGGTTTGAAATGGATGCCGGTGGTGAGTTGGTTTCCAGAGATGGAGACGGAGAGGTCCAGGAAGGGGATGGAGGTGTCAGAAACTGTCTGGATGAATTTGAGGATGGGGTGGAAGGTGTTGGCAAAGTTGATGAGCTCCTCAAGCTCGTCGCAGGAGCACGAGGCAGTAACGATGCAGTCATCAATATAGTGGAGAAAGAGGCGAGGGATTGTGCTGGTGTATTTGTGGGACTATTCCACAAATCCTACAAAGAGGCAGGCATAGCTCAGGCCCACGCAGGTGGCCACGGTCACCCCTTTGGCTTGTATGAAGTGGGAGGAATCAAAGGAAAAACTGTTGAGTGTGTCAATCAGTTCTGCCAAACAAATGAGAGTGTCAGTGGAGGGGGACTGGTTGGGCCTACGGGAGAGGCAGAAATGGAGGATACAGGTATAAAGGGACTGTATGTCTATAGTGAAGATGAGGTGTTAGGAGCCGGGAAATTGAAAGTTTTGGAAATGACGGAGGGCATGGGTTATGTCGCAAATGTAGGTAGGGAGTACCTGGACCAAAGGGGAAAGAACAGAGTCGAGATAGGAGGAGAGGAGCTCAGTGAGGCAGGAGCAGGTAGAGACAATGGGTCAACCTGGGCAGTCGGATTTATGGATTTTGGCAAGGTGATAGAAACAGGTGGTGCAGGATTAGGGAGCTATCAGGTTGGAGGCTGTGGATGGGATGAAGTGATGAGGATTTGATGGTCTGGGAGATGATGGCTTGGGGTGAGAGGTGGGGTCATGATTGAGGGGACAGTAGGAGGAAGTGTCAGAGAGTTGGCGTCTGTCCTCAGCGATGTAGAGGTCAGTTCGCCGTACTACCATCAAACCCCCACACCCCCGCTCCAACCCCCTTGTCGGCAGGTTTGATAGCGAGGTTGGGGTTGGAGCGAAGGGAGCAGAGCGCTGTGCATTCCAATGGGGACAGGTTGGAGTAAGTGACAGGGACAGACAGATCCAAGTGATTGATGTCACGGTGGTAGTTTGAGATGAAGGAGTCGAGGGAGGGTAGGAAGCCAAGCCAGGAGGGGGTGTCCGGAAAGATGGAGTTTGCTGAAGGCAGGAGGAGAAGGGGTTTTTAGAGGCTGGGTTGGATTCCCGTCCAAAGAAATAGGTGTGGAGGTAGAGGCAGCGGAAAAATAGTTCGACATCATGACGTGCTCAGAACTCGTTTACGTATGGGCACAGGGGAATGAAGGTGAGTCCTTTGTTGAGGACTGACTGTTCAACTTCAGTGAGAGGGAGGTTTGGGGGGGGACGGTGAATACCCAGCAGGGTTTGGGGCTGGGGCTGAGTGGAGAGCTGACGTCAGGAACGTGGGTGGAGACTTCATCAGGTGTGGGTACGTGCGCTGGAGCGGTCACGTTGGCAGAAGCAGAAGTAACCCAGTCATCAATACTGTCGGCAGACATGCAGTCTTCTACATCGGCAGAAGCGGCAGCCACTCAACCCGATCTTCCGGTTGCCATCCATTTTAATTCCCCCTCCCAATCCCCTGGCGACATGTCGATCCTTGGCCTCTTTCACTGTCAGAATTAAGCCAAACGTAAACTGGAGGTTCAACAGCTGATATTTCACCTTAGGAGCTTACAGCCCAATCGCCTCAATATTAACTTCACCAGTTTCAAAATCCCTCCACCTCCAGCCTTATCCCATGTCCAGCCCACCCCCTCCTGACCTGACCTAACCTAACCTGCTCACCAATCCGCTCTACCCTTCCCACTGACCAATCACAATAAACCTATCGCTGCGCCACCCTCTCCCTCTATTTACTTCTAGGCTCCTCTCCCCCTCCCCAGTCCTGACGAAGGGTTTCAGCAGGAAACGTTGACTTTCCTGCTTCTCAGATGCTGTCTGACCTGCTGTGCCTTTTCAGCTTCACATCTATTGACTCTGGCTTCCAGCATCTGCAGTCCTTACTGTCTGAAAATCAGATTGAAACAGGTAAAGAGGGCTGTTCCACCAGATTAAGCACCAGGAAAAACCCTGTAACCAACTGGAAGGCCCCAAACCAGAGCTCTTAGCTTTTCCACATCACTTCTCAAAACCCTTAAAAAAAGTATGCTTTAGCATGACTTCTCACTGCATACGCTCTCCTCCACTTGTTGCCTGCCAGCACTTTGCATTGCTAATTGTAAACTAGTATAACAGTTATAACAGGACATCTGGTTATTAATGATTCACTGCTATGTTTTTAGTTTTTAATATTGTTTGCTAACCGTTGCACAAAAGTTGTTGTGGCAGATAACTAATTGTTAGACTAATAACAAAAGTGTTCAAAACTGAAAACATGGATTAGTGGTTACTCCTATGTCACTTGCTTACGAGCTTAAAGTTAAGCCGCACAGTTACCTGGATCATTTAGCAGCATTACAAGATCAAATGCAGTTACTCCATTTTTGGCACGCAGGTTGACATCTGCTCCTTGATTCAACAAGTACTTCACAACATCTTTACTCCTTTAAAAACAAAACACTGTACAAATTATACTGCATTACATTATCACTCTGCAAACATCTCAAACCATATTGAAACCAGGGAGGGAATCCAGGTCTTTTCCTCTCATATTCAAAGAGGCAACTTATGATTTTACAATGGCCAACTTCCAGGTACAGCAAACTTAGCTTGAACTGGCATGCTCAATAAACAAGCAAAAACCGAATACTTCAAATACTGGAAATTAGTTGTATTATTGCAATCTCCGTGATATCTGAATAGTCAGTTCACAGTGCGAGTGTGAAAGCTCCCTGCTGGTATGTTTAGTTTAAGCATTATTATTTAACTGATTTATGCTGTAAATAAAGTATAACACGATCGTATACCCTTGCATTATGTTTCTATTGCTTCCTAGGTGTTTCTACGTTGATTATAGATTACAGATTATACATTCATACATGGACTTCTTGATCAACAGGCACACTCCTAGTCCAATAGGTAGCAGATAATAAAAGGTTTGCTATATATCTTTCTTGGAATCATTATCCCAAGTTCTCTAAAAAAAAAAAACTCATGCACAAACACACCAAGTGATGAACTGATACAGAAAAGTAACACAAATATTGTAGAACTGCATCAGTGTGATCATAACTTTGAATTCAGTGACTCAAGAAGCTAATCTTTTCCAGCTAGCAAAGACTATTGAATAAATACAAAACCAAAAGACTATACTGGCTCCACTTGCTCAAACTTGCTTAAAAAAGCAATTTCCTGACCCTGCTTTAGTTTAATCAGAATAATTGAATCATACTGTGAAGAGGCCCTTCGGTCTATCAACCACCAAAAACTACTCTAAACCTACATCAGTCTCACTTTCCAACACGTGGCTCATAACCTTGAATGTCATGATACTTCAAGTGTTCATCCAAATATTTTTTAAAAGGCTGTGAGGTTATCTGCCTTAACTACCCTCCCTGGCAGAGTACTCCAGATTCCCATCACCCTCTGGGTGAAAAACATTTTCTTTCAAATGCCCTCTAAACCTCCTACCTTTAACAGTAAAATGATGCCCCTTGTTTAACTAACGGGAAAAATTGTTTTCTATTCACCCTGTCTATCCCACATGCCTCAAACAGGTCCCCTGTCAGCCTTCTCTGCTTCAAAGAAAACAATATGAGCTTATCTAGTCTCTCTTCACAGCTACAGTGCTCCAGCCCAGACAACACCCTGGTCAATCTCCTTTGCACCCCTCCAGTGCAATCACATCCTTCCTACAGTGCGGTGACGAGAACAGCACACAGTACTCTAGCTGTAACTTTACCAAAGCCTGTCTCCTATCAACAAGGCAATTTTGGATCCAACTTACCAAGGTACCCTGGATCCCATGTGTTTTTACCATTTTATCAGTCATCCATATGCAACCTTGTCAAAGGCTTTGCTGAAATTGAAATAAACTACATCAACCACACTACCCTCATCTACACACCTGGTCACGTCTTCAAAAAATTAAATCAAATTTGTTGGGCATGACCTCCCTCTGACAAAGCCATGCTGACTATCCTGATCAAACTTTGCTTTGCTAAGTGAATATTAATTCTCTCCTTCAAAATTTTCTCCAATAGTTCACCAATGTGGCTTTCACTCATCTGAAATTCCCTGGTTTATCTCTACTACCTTTCTTGAAAAGTGGAACCCTATTATTAGCTGTCCTCCAGTCCTCTAACGTCTTCCCAGCGGCCAGACAGCAATTAAAAATTTGGGTCAGAGCCCCTGTGATTTCCTCCCTCATCTCCCACAGCAGCATAGGATACAACTCATCCAGATAAAGGCATTTGTCCACTTTTAAGCCTGCCAAAACCTCTAGTATCTTCTCACATCTTAGATAAAAATGCTCACAAATCTCTCAGTCCCTCTTCCTGAATTCTGTACCTACACCCTCCTTCTTTAAAGTGAAGGTAGGGTGAAATTAATGCAAAATGTTGTTATAAAGTTCCAGGAATCTCCAAGAAGAACATCTCTCCAAGAAGAATATCTCAATTATGAAATTAATAGACATATTAAAATGAATAAGTTTGTTTTACCTACCCATGATAAGTAGCTTGCATTAAGGCTGTCCATCCATGTACACCATCTTGCTTGTCAATATCAGAGTTCCTCTCACTAAGAAGTTGTACAAGGTCTAGTTGACCTGTCATGGCAGCAATCATTAATGGAGAGGCGCCATCTGCATTAGTGACATTGGCCTGAAATTCATCTTCATCAAGAATCTCCTTCACCAACTGATAGCTTCCTATTTACAAAACAAAGCAAATTCAGAAGAAACTATTTTTTTTGCATTTTATTTAGAAAGGAACTGTAATGCAGGCACAACATACCGTACTTGCAAACCAACATTAAATCTAAAATCAACCCGAAGTCACTTTGCATTTGAACATATTGGAGTAGAAGTTAAAATGAGTAAAATAACTATGGCAAATCAACAGGCGAGATGACCAAGCCTTTGATGAAGAGAGAGAAACATTGAAGTCGACGACAGAAAAAGAATTTCTGCATAGACACAAAAGGAAGGAAGGAAGGAAGCTAGCTCGGGGGAAGGGCACCCACCAAGGCAGCTGAAAGATCTACAAATGAGACAAAAGGAAGGAGGGGATGCAAAAATACTGGATGAGGAACAGCAAACAACTCTTGGAAACAAGGGTTTTCAAGTATATGCTGACCATGCTTGCCTATCCTTGCTCTGTATATGTAATTTTTACCTTTTCCAGATGAAAAACCAATTAGTTTTAGAAGTGGTTTTTAAATATGCTCTTTCCACATCCATTGAAAAAGCATTTCCGATGATAACATTTATTAATTCTCAGGATTTGATCATTGCTGGGAAGTTCAGCATTTATCACTTGGCCCACATGATCCTCAAAAGAAAGAGTCATGGTGGGCCACATTCTCGAACTGCTACAGTCTTACATGTGACAGTACTAACACAGTGGTTCGCTGGGGAGGTCAATTTCCATCGTGCAACGATGAAGGAATAGTGAGTTATTTTGAAGTCAGAAAAGTGTCTTACTTGGTTGTTGCCATGTGCTCACTGCTCTTGTCCCTTTTGTTTGAAGAAATCATGGGTTTGGAAGACATTGTTGAAGAAATCTTGAAAATGCTGCTGCGGATCTTATAAATACGATGCACAGAATACATCCAGGGTGGAAGAGGTGGAGAGACTGAAAAGGTTTTAAAAGATGGTAAACAGGATGCTAACCCATTGGGCTATTTTGTCCTCAATGGTGTGGAGCGTTATTGAGTAGTGGCCGGAGCTGCACTCATCAAGGGAAGTATAAAGAATTCTCAGAGTCCTGAATTATGCCTTCTCCTCGAGGGTGTGCAAACTTTTGTAAGTCAGAGAGAGTCACTTTCTGAACAATACCCAGTCAGAGCATTTACACGGCTAGTCCAGTTAAGATGTGAATGGTGGATCCTCTCAGCACTACAGGCCTAGAGAGACCAAGATAGATCATCCATTCAGCATTTCTTGTTCAAACAGATTACAATTTCCAATAAAATGCTGTGCTCCATAATTAAGGGTGGGAACAGTTATCAAGCCTCCTCCACACAATGTTCGATGAAATCAGGACTGTAAGTGGTATAGCTGTAGAGCTTTGATTTGATCCATTTGTTGTGGGAGCACTTGGCTCAGTGGCATGCTGTTTCTGCAGTTTAGCATGCACGCAGTCATGTAGCAGCTTCACTAGGTTAGCATCTCTTTTGAAGCACACTTGCTGCTGCTCCTGGTATGCTCTTCTAAAATCCTCATTGTACCAGAGCTGGTCCCCTAACCTGATAGTAATAGTAACTTGTCGACATGCCAGGCTGACGTTACAAGTAATGAACATAAGTACATAAGAACCAGGAGCAGCTGTAGGCCAACTGGTCCTTCGAACACGCTCCGCCATTCAATAAGATCATTTTCATGGCCTCAGTTCCATTTACCTATCCTCTCTCCATAACCCTTAATTCCTTCACCATTCGAAAAACTATCTATCTTACCTTTAAAAACATTCAATAAAGAAGCTCCAATTACTTCACTGGACAGGAAATTCCACCGATTCACAACCCTTTGGGTGAAGAAATTTCACTTCAATTCAGTCCTAAATCTGGTCCCCCTAATTTTGATACCATGCCCTCTTGTTCTAGTTTCACCCACCAGTGGAAAGAACCTCCCTGCTTCACTCTTATCTATTCCCTTCATAATTTTATATGTTTCTTTAAGATCCCTCTTCATTCTTCTAAATTCCAATGAATATAATCTAGTCTATTCAGCCTCTCCTTATAAGCCAACCTTCTCACCTCTGGAATTAACCTAATGAATCTCCTCTGCAATGCCTTGCCTTTTTAGCATTTTGCCTTTTTAAACATCTGTTGTACCTGCAAACCAACCTTCTGCGATTCATGCACAAGGACACCCAGGTCCCTCTGCACAGCAGTACGCTGCAATTTTTTATCATTCAAGTTATAGTCCCTTTTACTGCTATTCCTACCAAAATGGCTGACTTCACATTTATCAATATTGTACTACATCTGCCAGACCTTTGCCCACTCACTTAAACTATCTATATCCCTTTGCAAACTTTTAGAGTCCTCTGCACACTTTGCTCTGCCACTCATCTTAGTGCTATCCGCAAACTTTAACAGACTACATATGGTTCAACTCCAAATCATCAATGTAAATTATAAACAATTGCAGTCCCAGCACTGATCCCCATTGTACACCACTAGTTACTGTTCGCCAACCAGAAAAGCACACATTTATCCCCACTCTTTGCTTCCTATTAGTTAACCAATCTTCGATCCATGCTAAATACATTGCCTGTAACGCCGTGCATTTTTATTTTATGCGGCATTTTTGTCAAATGACTTTTGGAAATATGGTGGAATATATTTCTGCTGTTGCTGGTGATCCATAGGATATCTTCAAAATCCAGCTCTGAATGGCTCGAACTGATTGTAATATTTCACTTTTAGTATGGTGGTCATGTCACAACATGATGGAAGCTGTCTTCACAATTAATTCACAACTTCAGCTCCATAAGTACTATGCAGCAGCCGCTCCTCATGGATCTAAGACAGGTAGATTGGGGAGGAAAAGCTCAAGGCAGCATTTTTCTCCCTGACAGTTATCTCACCATCTGGTTCAAGAAGACTTGTTGCATTTAGGGAGGCAGAAACTCTGTTGATGATTAAAGATGCATGCTCAGCACACATCTTCAGCAAGAGACGCTCTTTCTCCAATGACCCACACCAACTCTTGTGCTAAGTTTGCCAATTGTTACAATATTTAGATAGTCACAACCAAGTCATGCAGCTGGTTAAGCACCCAAAATGCCTGATACTTGCCTACCCAAATAAGTGTACTACGGAAACTTCAAGTCTAAAGTGCATTTTCATGGCTGTCAAAAGAGGTATTACATGGGTAACTTAAAGCTTCAATTAGAACTTTTGATATCAACATTAAGTAGGCTAGGACACTCACACCTATCCAACCAACAAAGAAAAGATAGTGGTATGGTGAGCTTCAGATTTGTCAAGAAGGATGTACAGCAATAGCGAATTACAGTCACAGTTTAGAGAATATGATTTATGACCTTCAGGCTGTTCAGTACTGTGCAGGGTGGAAACCTGATTAGATTTAAACATGATAGGAATGACAGAGATTTAGGAGGTACTAGCACTTGCAAGGACTTTGGATAAATACAGACTGTTGAAGATGGATTTTTTTTGATGATCAATGAGAAGATATGAGATTTCAAAGGGGCATGTTGTGATTGGTGGATAGGAAAACTTTAAACATATTAGTTAGCATAGGCAAAAGGAAAAGAAAGCTGGGCAGTCAAGAATTTAACAGAAATACACCAAAAGCAGATAAGTCAAGTAATCAAGATAAACTCAGGAGATGTGGAGAGATAGGAGAGAAATTACATAGAGATATCACCACAGCAAGTGCTGGCAGAGAGGGGAGGTAACTTTAGCTTGACGAATTAGGAAAAGGGAGAAGGAAGAGGACATGCCGTTAATAGATGCTGGAATTGAGCCAGTCTGGTAGTGAACAGAAGGATCTAACGAGGCTTATCTGGTCCGTCAATAAAGGGCTAAAACCAACTGTGCTCGAGTATACCCAGGAAAATGATCAGGCTAAGAGAGTTTTAACTGTACATTGACCTGAAAATAGAGCTGACATTGTACCTAAGCAGATCAATAGCTGGACTGAATGGATGATCAAAGGTAAACAGCTAGAAATTACTGCTGATGCTAACTTTGGTAAGATTTTTTTAAATCCCTTAGAGAAAGACACAGGAGTTCATAGGAGTTGTGAGAGTGGTGTGCAATACAGACCTTGATTGTGATTGACTCAACAGAGGTTCTGAGAGAGCATGGTTGAATGGGAAGTCATATTTTTAATATACAAGGATTTGTGGGGGGGGAAAAGAACAGCGAACAAGGTGCCAGGGTTTAAAGAAGAAAGCAGGAACACGAAGAACACAGCAAGAGGAGAGATATTTACACTGAAGTAATAAACAGAGGCTAAGCTGCTGAGGTTCTGAGGAAGGGTCACCGGACCCGAAACGTTAACTCTGTTTTCTCCTCCACAGATGCTGCCAGACCTGCTGAGCTTTTCCAGCAACTTTGTTTTTGTTGCTAAGCTGCTGAGGTTGTTAAGGAGGAAATTTCAGGATGTTTTTCATGAAAAGAGCAACACGGTGGTTATGAAAGATGGAAATAATCAAGCAAAGGTCATTAACTGCTGGTGAAAATGACAACCATGAACAGTGGAGTGACAAGAAGTTTCATGAGAAAAGAAGCAGAGGGTCAGCATCTTGGGAAGAAAAGTGAATGAGGAAAGATTAGGAGGAAGAGACGAAAGACAGTACACATTGGCCAGGGACAACGGGAAGATTGGACTTTAGTAACTTGCCTTAACTATAAATAAATATTACTGTCATCTCAGGCCAAGTGAGAGGTATGGAACCAGTCTCAGCTGCTATAGGTTTCAGCATTGATTTAGTTCACTTTTTCAAATGAACACAGGTTCAAGTTCCACATTAGGAAATTGAGTGCTTAATCTGGGGTCACATTTTAAATAATGAAGGAGTACTGCATTGCTGGAGTTGCAATCATGTGGATGAGACATTAAACCAAGACCACATCTATCATTTCATGCAAATGCAAAATCTCCTGTAGGACTACCTAATATGCTAACTGACATTCATCTCTCAATGAGCACTCCTATCTAAGTGTTATTTGTGAACTCTTGTATGCCACAAATTGGCTGCTACATTGAAACAATCAAAATTCTCAATTGGCTGTAAAGTGCTTTGACACATACTGAGGATAGAAAAGTACTAATATAAACACAGGTTCATTATTTCACATCAGCAAAATCAATTTTCATATCTGTAATATCAATTTCTGCGTCAAGCCTCTCTCCCTTAATTCAGATTTGTAAAGTCACTTAAAAGAATCAACTCTAAGTCTTTCATTATCTGCTTCCACTATTCTTAAAATCAAATCGAGAAAATTACAACCCACTTTCTCATCTGCATCGTCATAACCCCACCAGACCTATCTCTAATAATTCTCTAGTCCCAAATCAAGACAAATTCAACACACCAACTGCTGCTTGGGTTTGTCCCTTCCATTATCTCTATTGCATGTAAGCAATTCTTAAGCCACTACATTCCTCAGTCTTAGAACATTTTCCTTTAGCATCTCTGCAATTCACTTCCATTGCTGCCTTTTAAATTCTTGGACTGTGTTTTTGTTGGCTTTCAAAGCCCGTGTTCAATTTCTTCCATTGTGCCCACCAGCCTGTAAAACATATTGACGGTTCTCTTTGCAGATGAAGAGCAAACAGATTTAAAGTTGCCAGATGAACAGGTGGGGTGCAAAATATCAGTACTCATTAGCGATCCCCTGTTTACTATACGTTTAAAGGCTGTCCTTCAGAACTGCTGTCTGAATGGAAAGGATACAGTTGTGATAAAAAAAAAATGCACTTTACTAATAGTTTATACAAAAGTTCAACTGTAATTTGACATAATCCAACTCAACATATTCTCTCGCCCTCCAATGAAGGCAAAATGTAATGCATTAGTGCTTACCCAGTTTTAATGCATGAAATATGTCTGGTCTCTTTTTGTCTTCATCTGAAACAAAGTAGAAACACATCAGCAATAACAGTTACATCAATTTTCCTCTATCAATCGTCTCCAGGTAATACACTCAACACAGTGCACCAAACTCTAATTTCCAAATTAACTAACTGATTAGGCATTTAAACATAGAAAAGTGAGATCTACACAGCCATTCGAAAGGCACAAAAACCCAAACATAGTAAAACTCTTCACATCCTATCAGTTAATTGTTATAATGTTCCTTTGGATACTAAATTTGTGTTATAACATTGAATCTGGAAGATTAATATATATGAGACGGTGCATGTAGTGCACTCGGACTGAGTGAGAAGCTGGGAGTTTGGTGAATGAGGGTGTCTCAGGGGTTATCTCTTCCTTTCAAAAAAAAAACTAGTCCTGATCATATTTTGTGAAATTTACTGCTTAATTAAAGGCAGCAGCCAATTTGAATACAGAGATGCCCCATAACCTGTAAGTTAATATGATTGTGCTAATATAGGTGGCAGGTCAAAAGACTGGATAGAAGACAATAAACAGCAAAGAATTACTAAAAGAATAATAAGAAAGGAAAAATTAGAGTATGAGAGAAAGTTAGCCAAAATCACTCAGAGGATCTAGTAATGGAGGATACAGATGGCAGACAAATTGAACACTTATTTTGCATTGGTCTTCATTAAAGTGGATACAGGTTATAATAGCTGTAAGTGAGAAACTGAAAGGGAAGGATAAATGAAAGAAAATTTAAAGTGCAGCAAACTTTTTATTAATCAGCATCATTGGAACCGGAAGTATGGCAAATGATCAAATATTCCGGTGGATCAAGAGGTCCACATAATCATTGTAAAAACACAATGCAAGGGGTGTATGCATCACTTGCACTAGTGCAGTACTACAGTAAATTGTTGGAACTGCAAGTTGGTAAGTTTCTAGGTCTTGATGGATTTCATCCTGGGGTCTTTTAAAGAAAAGTAACAAGTTACATAATTGTGCTATTGTTTCAATTTTCCAAAACTCATTAGACTTATTTAATGTTCCTTTAGATTATTCAAGGGAGGCAGAAAGCAGGTAACTACAGGCTAGTCAGCTTAACATCTGTCACTGGGAAAATGCTAGAAGCTATTATTAAAACATTACAATGGGGCACTTGGACAAGTTCAAGATCATCAGGCAATGCCATTATGAAATGCCATATTTAATTGATTTATTGGAGTTCTCTGAAGTAGAACATGTTTTGTCAACAAAAAGGGAACTATGGATGCATTGTATTTAGATTTCCAGAAGGCATTTGATAAGGTACCTCATCAAAGATTAATTCAGTAAATATAAGCTCATGGTGTAGGGAATAACATATTGGTATGAAAAGAAGATTGGGTGGCTGACAGAAAACAGAGTTGGAATAAGTGGGTCTTTGTCAAGATGGCAGGATGTCATGTGTCGTGTGCCACAGGCCCTGAGGCCTCAACTGTTTACAATTTCTAAAAATGATTTTGCTGAAGGAACTAAAAGCATCGTAGATAAATGCGCTGATGACACGGATTGGTAGGAATGAGAGTTGTGAAGAGGACATAAGAAGCCTACAAAGGAATACAACTAAGTGAATGGGCAAATAGACAATACTGTGTCAAAGTGTGAAATTATCCATTTTGGCAGAAAGAATTTAAAAAGCATTATTTAAATAGTCAGAGGTTGCGGAGTTCTGAGATGTAGACAAATCTGGCTGTCCTAAAACACAAACTGCAGGTTAGTATGCAAGTACAGCAAGTAATCATGACAGCTAACAGAATGTTACGTTTAATTGCAGGGGGAATTAAATGCAAAAGCAGGGACATTATGCTTCCATTATAAAGGGCATCGATGAGACCAGACCTGAAATAATGGATAGAAGGATGTACTACTTATAGAAGGTTGTTAATGCATTGGAAGCAGTTCAGAGGTTTACTAGACTAATGGGGAATGAGCAGATTTCCTTGTGAGAATAGGCTAGGCCTGTACCCTCTAGAGATAAGAAGAATCAGAAGTGAGCTAATTGAAACACAAGGCCCTGAGGGGACTTGACCAGGTAGAAGTTAAAAGTTTACTCTTATGGAAGTTTAAAAATAAGGGAGATGCCTACATAAAATAGATTTGAGGATATAGTTTTCGCATAGGGTTGAGTGCCTTTGGAATTCCATTCCCAAATGGCAGAATCTTTTAAAAAAAACACCAAAAAGAACTACGGATGCTGGAGATCTGAAACAAAAACAGAAATTGCTGGAAAAGCTCAAGTCTGGCAGCACTTGTGGAGAAAAGTCGGAGTTAATGTTTCAAGTCCAGTGACCCTTCTTCAAAAGTTCAGAGTTCTGAAATGTTTTAAATCTTTTAGAGTCATAGAGCAGGGAAAACACCTTCGGCACAATTTGTCCGTGCCGACCAAGTTCCCCAAACTAAACTAGTCCCACTTGCCTGCATTTGGTGCACATTCCTCTAAACTTTGAACAAACACAGAAGTTGCTGGACAAGTCTGGCAGCATCTGTGAAGAAAAATCAGAGTTAACGTTTCAGGTCTCTCTAAATTCCTATTCATGTACCTGTCCAAATGTCTTTTAATGTTGTAACTGTACTTGCATCTACTACTTCCTCTTACAGTTCATTCCACAAACGAACCAGCCGCTGTTTAAAAAAGTTGCACCTCATGTTAGCTTAAAAATATGCCCCCTAGTTTCTCCCATGCTCGGGAAATGTCCTTTGCCTTTACCTTATCAATGCCCCTCATGATTTCATAAATTTCTATGCAGTCACCTCTCAACCTCCTACACTCCAGTGAAAAAAGTCCCAGCTTATCCATGCCTCTCCTTATAACTGAAATCCTCCAGTCCCAGCAACACCCTGATAAATCTTTTCTGCACCCTCTCCAACTTAATAGGAATATCCTTCCCAAAGCAGGCCACCCAGAACTGTATACAGTACTCCAAAAGTGGCCTCACCAACATCCTGTACAACCTCAAAATGATGTTCCAACTCTTACACTCAATGGTCTGAGCAATGAAAGCAAACATGCTAAATGTCCTCTTAACCACCTTGCCTACTTGGGACACAACTTTCAAAGAACTTTGTACCTAAACTCCTAGGTCTCTCTTCTACAACACTACCTAGAGCCCTACCATTAACTGTATAAGTCTTGCCCTTGTTCATTTTATCAAAATACAAAACCTTGCATTTATCCAAATTAAATGCCATCTGCCAGTCCTCAGCCCACTGGCCCAATTGATCAAGATCCCTTTGTAATTTTAGATAACCTTCTTCACTGTCGACTATACCACCAATTTTGTCACCTGCAAATGTACTAACCATACTTTCCGAATTCCCATCCAAATTTAGGCAGAGGTAGATAGATTTTTGATTATAAGGGGGATGAAACATTATTGGGAGTATGCAGGAATGTAGTGTTGAAGTGAAAATCAGACCAGCCATTGTCTGATAAAATGGTGATGCAAGCTCAAAGGTTGCTTGTCATGTTGTGATCCATTTTACAGGAATCAGCGATGAAAGATAAATATCAGGAAGCAAATGGGACTATATTAGGTTGGGATATCTGGTTGGTATGGATGAGTTGGACTGAAGGGTCTGTTTCCCTGCTGTAAATCTCTATGACTAAATGCCATTGTTCTTCCCTGAAACAGCATAAATTATCCTCTTATATATGAGATAAGAAGGTGTAGAGCTGATGAACACAGCAGGCCAAGCAGCATCAGAGGAGCAGGAAAGCTGACATTTCAGGCCAATACCCTTATCCTCTTGCAAGGGCAGGCATTTCTTCTGATTTACATTTCATCTGGAAAGTACATGTTATATCACAACGCTATGCCAGTACTGGATTTTGTTGGACCCGAATACACCACCTTCTGGCTCGAAGTGTTGTCAATTTCAGCTACATGAAAAGAAAAGATAAAGGAACAAGGTTGACTCTTAACTGTCCTCTGGGCAATTAGGGATGGGCAATAAATGCTGCCTAGCCAGAGACGCCCTCATCCCATGAATGAATAAAAAAAATCCCCAGTTATTTTCAGTTTCTGCACATATTGGACTGCAAACATTAATTCTGTTTCTCTCTATGAAGGTGCTGTTATCTCCAGCGTCTTGAGTTTATTGCAGATTTCCAGCATCTGCATTGCTGCCATCCCCGTCAAACCCCTACCTGATTTGGGCCGATTGGTGGTCTTGGAATCCAGGTAGTCTCTGATCTCCTTCTGCCTGCAGGCGCAGGCGATCTCGAAGGCGGTCATCCCTCCCACGTTCGTCTGATTGGGATCCGAGCCGGCATCGACCAGCTGCTGGGCCACGGCCAGCTCGCCGTTGAGGGCCGCCAGCATCAGGGCGCTCCAGCCGCCGGCGGGTCCGGCAGGCGCGGCTCCGGAGCAGGAAGCCCCCCACTCCAGCAGGACCCTGACCAGCGGATCGGCGCCATGTTGGGCCGCCACCATCAGAGGTGTCAAGGCGGGGTCGAGCGCAGTCTCCTGTCCCTCGTCCACCCGCCGCTGGCGGCCCCCACCGCCCGCATCCGGGCACGCGCCGCCCTCCAGCAGGGCGCGCGCCAGGCCGACGTGGCCTCCGCGCGCCGCCGCCGTCAGCACGCTGGCGCCCAGCTTGTTGGCGGCGTTGGCGTCGGCGCCGTGTTCCAGCAGCACGCGCGCTACGCCCAGCTGCCCAAAGCGGGCCGCCTGCATCAGCGGCGTCCAGCCGTAGCGGTTGCGACTATCCACCGAGGCGCCCTTCATCAGCAGGAACCGCACCAGGTGCTCGTGGCCGTGGCCGGCCGCGAACTGCAGCGCCGAGTTGCCGTCGTCGTCCGTGCAGTCGACGGGCACCTGCGGGGCCCTGAAGTCCGGGCCCGCCGCCTGCTCGCCCCGCTCTACCTCCTCTTTCTTCTTCTCCTCATCCTCCTCGTCGCCATCTCGCGGTGCCGGCTCCAGCAGCCGCCTGGCGTTCTCGAAGTTTCCTTCTTCGCAGGCGCGGAACAGAAGCTGGTAGATTGGGGGGACCCCGCACTCCATTTTTTTTTAAGGCCGAGGCGGCAACAGCAAAGGTGAGCTGCTCCTAATAGATGCGTCCCGGTCGCCCATCACCGTCCAGCCCCGAAGCAATGACATCGCTTCGACGTTTTTTTTCCTCTCACGTGGGAGAGGGTCGCGGATCGGGATTTGCGAGGAACCCAGATGCACGTTGGTACCGTCTTTCCCGTTACTATAGCGACCAATTGAGGTCAGTTCTCCCGGTGCTGAACCCTATCGACGGGTCGGTGGAGAAAACTGAAGGGCCGAGCCCACGTAACCCACCCTGTGATTGACATGACAAGCGACCAATCAGACCCCACCGTCTCACTCGTTTCCCCGCCTCCACCTTCCCGACCTCGTTTGAAAAGCCCCGAAGCCGCTCGATTCGCGGCGAGAAGGGATGAGGCTTCAGTACCTAGCAACACGTCGAACCGTTTCCATGGGGCTGGCTAGTAGGCGGTGCCGAATGACGCTACCAAATGCGTCACAATGGGATTTCCCCAGGCTCTGCTTCTGACTATAGGAACTCCGCGCTCATGCGCGTCCCAGAGCCCAGCTGTACACTAACCTCAGTGATCGAGGGGGCTGCAGAACAATCCACATGATGCTTCTGTATGCACTCGCTCCGGGAGGAGGCTGGCTACCTTTTTGAAGTCCCAAAGCATACGAGAGAAACATTCGGCGAACAAACCAGATGACCAAATTTATCACAGCCTCTAATTTTTGAATGAAATAGTGTTTCAGAACCAGGACCTGTAACCCAAGTCTGAGCTTGTGGTTTATTAGACAGCAATGATGTTCGTGCTATTAAAAACTTCAGACGCTTGGGCAACCCACAGAGGGCAGTTTAAAGCATTGAAAAATCAGTAGAGCCTTGTGCAGTGGTAGTGTCCTAATTTCTGAGTCAGGAGGCTTTGGTTCAAGTTCCACCAGCATGTGCAAAACATTTGAGTTGATTAGAAAATACCTAAAAATAAGGAGGTGTAGCTAAAATTACACAAGTCATTAGTCAGACCTCACCTGGACTATGTCAACAAATTTGATCTCCTTGCCTTGGAAAAGATACACTGGCATTGGAGACCGTTCAGAGAAAAGTTCACTATGTTGATTGCAGGGATGCGGGGATCGTCTTTTGGGGAGAGGTTGTGTAGTTTGAACTTGGTTGAGTAGGTGACATTTAGAAGGAGAGGCAACCTTATAGAAACAAGATTCTTGTAGACCTTAACAATGTAGGTGAGGAGACACTGTTTCTCCTTGTGGGAGAGTTTTGGAGCAGAGAGCTTAATCTCAGAGTAAAGGGATTGCTTGTTTAAGACAGTTTGTTTTCTTTCAAACGGTAATGAATCTGGAATTCTTGACTGTGGAGGCTGGTCATTAAGCGTGTTATCTTGCAGATTGGCTGTTCCTTTGAAGTTGTTTGCAATGTTACTTGGTTCTAGTTAAAGGTTTTTTAAATAATCACAGAGAAAAATTTCAATGTAATTATAAAACTTAAAAGTGAAAGCACTAAGGGAAAACATTAAAGAGATGCCTAGCACATCTTGTCTCATTAGCTAAAAAGTGTTAACTGTAGAAGTAATTACAAAATTTTAATATCATGAATTTTATAACATCATTAGCTGTCTTTTATATAAAAAAAGAAGTAATAAAATTTGATGAGGATGACAAGTGCAGTAAACGGTGGAGTCCAGTCAGTCCTCGGAGGTGAGCGGGCCACGGACGTGGCCAGAGGAGCGCGGCCAGTAACTTTGGAATGCAACATAGAAAGGTCCCAAAGCCTAAAGATTACAATAATTGTTAAAAGAATAAGGGATTCTAGGGTTGTCTATACTAATGCCCATCATTGATCTGGTGTTTTACAGGATTGGTCCTATTGACAGGAAGGGGAGGGCACAGTAACCACATTGTGTATGATCATTGTAACACAAAATGTATAAAAATACTGTTTTTTACCGTAAAAATCAGAGTGTGTCATTGATCTCTTTTCTGATCTGAGATGCAGATTAAGGGAACGATTGTGTTTTCATGTCTAAACCAGGTTCGAGGAAGATTATTTGGCCCTCTCCCTGCATTAACTGGTTTTTGCTTGAGTAAATGTCCACTACGTGCCTGAATCCCGTCTACCTCCTGAGTCTTTGTCCTCGGTCAGGGGTCACAGTCCTACAGCGTTCAAGGTTGAGACAGACAGATTTTTTGATCAGGAAGGGTTTCTCAAGAGTTATTGAGATAGAGCAGGAAATTGGAGTTGAGGATTATCAGATCAGCCATGAATTCATTGAATGGCAAAATTGACTCCTTGAGCCAAATGGCCTATGGTCATATATCTTATGGTAACACCAGTACTTTCACGTGAAACTTAAAATCCCATAACAAGCAAGTTTATCCAACAGCAGCACCATCTCCCAGGTAAACATGCCTATCATCTAGACCCTAACCCCACACAACCAGATCTGGTTAGGTAGAAGACAAAATTACAGAATGTTCCCAGCACAGAAGAAGGCTTTTTGATCTTGCATGTGTGCAGAGCCATTAATAATTTATCTAGTTCCACTACCTGGCTTTCTCCCTGCACCCTGCAAATTCTTCCTTTTCAGATGATTACAGAGTGTTTTTAGCACGGAAGAAGACCATTCTGATTATGCTAATGCTCTGATGGAGAAATCCATAAAGTGCCACTGTCCTGACTTTTCCACTTTGGCTTGAATTTTTTTCAAATGATGTTACGATCTTGAAGGAGATTATTAACGTTTAACCCCAACCCAAACTCCCAATTATTAATTGAAAGAATCATGTGTCATAGATCCACATTTCAAACAAAAAGAACTTTTACTGTACAAGAGCTAAATAGAGCAAGTATAATTAGTTTAACACTATATTTTGTAAACAATTGGATTTTCAATGCAAAAATCTCAATGTGTAGTCCCTGTTAATAGTTTTTATGGGCAAATGGCCTAATTCTGCTCCTATATCTTATGGTCTTTATTTCCACTCAAGAGTTCCCTTGCACGTGCAGGATCTTACTGAATCTACACTTTTCCTGGGTCCTAATTAAGATGTGCCACAGCTTTCAGGAATTCACCAGTGATTCTTCTCAGTTTTCCCACTATTCTCTAAGATATAAGATTTCTTGGAGACCTTCCTCTAACATTCAGTTACGTAATCTCCAAATCTTTTTAAACACATTGTATTTATGCCACCCCTACTTAAAAATAGGGCTCTCTGCTTGTTTGTTCAGTGACTCCAAAACCAGAAAGCACCTCCATTTCTGATTGTAATTTGTATAGGATGTACCAAAGGGCTAAAAGTCAATGATGATATTCGAAAGCTACACGACCTTGAATGAGTCCATTGAGCATTCCTGTACGTGCTGAAGACAGCACAATCAACGTGTTTTTCTGTAATTGTTTTTTTTCTTTGCCTTGCTGTTTGTTACACTGTATAAGAGAGAGAGTTTTGTTCCAAGTCACTGGAGTTCACCTTGGATCGGGATTGCAAATGGTGCCAGGAACAACTCAGCCTCCAGACCAGCCCTCGATCAAGGTGTCCCTGACAGGCAGAAGGGCGTGAGGCTTATTGTTTCTTTCCTCTCTTTTTCATTCTTTTTATTTACTTAATAAATGCTGCTTTCTTTTTCATCTTTTATTATAACTCAATAAATGTTCATATTTAAGCAAATTGCTATTGTCGAGCCTTCTCTTAACCACATTTAACCGAATCTGAAAAGAACCACTTGGATGCACTCTGTGATCCAAGACACATTGTCATCCACACGTGAATTTTCAAGCTATTTTGAATTAATTTATTCAGAATTCACCTACAAAATATTATTGGCCTCCATATTTGTAGTTTCTTCATCATATAACTGTAGATGTACTTCTATCCTTAAGCCCATTGCCCAGACTCAAACACTTTGGCTCCTCTATTTGAGATAGTAATTTTAAAAGGACTTTTATTGTGTAAATAATTTATTCCCCTGTCGGTCAAAATCTTCTTTACCTAATTTAGTGAAAATCTTCTTTACCTAATTTAATGATATCATTCAGATGGTGCTATTGCTCACAAGCAAAAAGGTCTTGTATTCCTCTTCGTTCTGGTCTTTGAATAGTTTGTGATCCTTCATTTTTCCTGCTTCCATTCAGAATGTTGATAGCTCCTTCATTTTAGACCTCCACCTCCATGTCACATTTCAACACCATGTCTTTCATACAACTTGCATATAACATTCACTTATTTCCTTTGTCAACAGCTGAATAACTAGTGGGCGGCATGGTGGCTCAGTGGTTAGCACTGCTGCCTCACAGCGCCAGGGACCCGGGTTCGATTCCAGCCTTGGGTGACTGTCTGTGTGGAGTTTGCACATTCTCCCAGTGTCTGCGTGGGTTTCCTCTGAGTGTTCCAGTTTGCCCCCACAGTCCAAAGATGTGCACATTAGGTGAATTGGCCATGCTAAATTGCCCTGGATTAGGTGGGTTATGGGGGATGAATCTGCATGGGATGCTGTGAGATTCAGTGTCAACTTGTTGGGCTGAAGGGCCTGTTTCAACACTGTAGGGATTCTATGATTGGTAGCTCCTTCTGTTTTCAAGCTTTGCACCTCCTACTGCCCACAGCATTACTGAACTGTGTTCCTGACACCTGCTGATTCTTTCTCTTGCTGTGTAAATTATGCTAGGCAATCATAGGCATACATTTTCACAATGCTCGCTGGTGACACATTAGCACTCTCCCACTATTCTTACAGATCAGGCTCGTGTGTACCAAGACTAATTTAAGACAAATAACATCATTCACTCAATTGCCATACCATAGAATGCTGCTTTATATGTCATGTGTACAGAGATGGAAAGAAGCATGGAAGATGGAGAGGCAGGAAGAAATGAACTAAGAGCTGTTTGGCCATTTTCTCATTCTATTCTCTTGACACTGAACTCTCTCCTTCACCCTTCACCCACTGTGCGATAACCTAGAGTTCCAGAGACTACTCACCAAATTGCCTTTGTCTTCCCCTGGAGTAATTGTTAACTTTGTCCAGCTGGTCTATGCCAAAGTCTATGCTAGATGTGAGCCTCCGGAAATAATTTTTACTTCTTTCTATCTAATGCATTTATCTAACTTTGTTTTACATATGCCATTTGTCTCATTTTGATCCGGTAACTTTCATATTCTAACTATATTCTAGCTAAGGAGGTTCTTTTGAGTTCCAGATTGGATTTATTAGTTACTGGCATATATTTACGATCCGAGTTAAGGATTCCCTCCATTGCAATGTTAAAGACATCAGTTAGGGTACTCCTCAACTATATTTCAAAAAAAACTTCAGCCTTGTTGTCCCCCATTGGCTGGCAAGAAGACTTTGTTCCTCTCAGTCATGAATTCCACATCATCTGAGTCTTTGCATTCAATTTGAAGATATTAGCCAGTTGCTGCAATAAAAAGGACAGTATAGCTCACCTCCTTTAAGCTGCACAGACTGTATTTAAATATCAAAACTTCTGTTGGATTTCCCAGTCTCCTAATTTGAAAGCTGCCTGTAACAATGCTTAATTGCCTGCCCTTCATGTTAACATGAGACAGAAGCCTGAATACTAGTGCTTCTCTTCAATGTCATCAGAATTATGCCACAGATATCCCAGCTATTTTGGGAACAGGCTGAAAATTGTTTCCAGGGTATCTTTGTAAACAATTTGAAGGGAGTGGTGTGCGCTTTGCTGTGCTCATATCAATAAAATTAGCTTCATTTAATCCTCAGCTCTGTGCCTGTATTGATTTTTCCTTCCAATGTTAGTCAATTTTAGTGGATTTAATGTTACAGCTTCCAGTGTGCTCATGCTGCAGGCTGGTGCCATATACATTTCTACTACAGGCTGCAGTGGTTTGTTGCTTTTTGGTATAAATTATCTTCCAACTTATAAAACAGATCAATTTCATGATGTAAATCTACATCACAGCCTTCAATAGTTTTTTTTTATGAAATGAACAAGGAAAAGGAAAATATTTTTATTTAAATAGCATCCTTTTTAAGTACAGGCGGTCCCCAATTTATAAATGTCTGATTTATGAACTCTTGTATTTGTAAACGTGATATCATACACAGGTGTACTTTTAAAGATCTGACATACAAACGTTTCCTGTACTTACAAATGGCTATATTGTCCTGCGTTGTGTTCAGACTTTTGTGTAAATTGACTGGCGAATAGACTCAAGATTGGAACCCGTTTGAAACACAGGGATTGCCAGAAAAAGATATTTGAGGCCGAGATGAGATCAGACATGATTGAATTAAATTGCACAGAAGGCTCGAGGGACTAAATTGCCTGCTTCTACTCCTAGTTCTTATGTTCTTATTCCAAAATGTTTTACAGCCAATTGATTACTATTGAAGTGTAATCACTGTTGTCATATGGATAAATTCAGCAGCCAGTTGCTTCAAAGCAAGGTCCCACAAACAGTACAGAGAGAAAAAAAAAGCCAGTTGATAGAATTTAGAGTCATAGAGCTATACAGCATGAAAACAGGCCCTTTGTCCAACTTGTCCACGGAAACCAGATATCCTAAATTAATCTAGTCCCATTTGGCAGCATTTGGCCCATATCCCTCTAAACCCTTCCTATTCATGTACCCATCCAGATGCCTTTTAAATGTTGTAATTGTACCAGCCTCCACCACTTCCTCTGGCAGCTTGTTCCATACACCCACCACCCTCTGTGTGAAAAAGTTGCTCCTTAGGTCCCTTTAAAGTCTTTCCTCTCTCACCTAAACTATGTCCTCAAGTTTTGGACTCCCCTACCCTGGGGAAAGGACCTTGGCTGTTCACCCTATCTATGCCCGTCATGATTTTATAAATTTCTATAAGGCTACCCATCAGCCTGCAATACTCCAGGAAAAAAAGCCCCTGCCTATTCAGCCTCTCCCTACAGCTCAGACCCTCCAACCCTGGCAACATGCTTGTAAATCTTA